TACCAAAATTTTCATTTTGCTACCAAAGCTGATTTTTAAGAATCCACCGTCTGCCGTCTGCCGTCTGCCGTCTACCGTCACTCGTCTACATAATTTTACTTTGAAACATAAGCGTAGTACATAAGCGTATATAAAATTTATTAAAGATAAAAGTATTTTAAGAGCAGCTACCCAGAAATTTATCATAAAGTATCTTTTGCTTAAGCTTGTACTCGTATATCGAGGCGAGACCGTGCCACACGGCACATAGCACTCCATGCGTGCAACTGCACAAAATATGAATAGTTCCAAAGATGCCAAATTACAAGAATCCTAAGTGCGGTGCGGTGCGGTTGAAATGGAGCTTTATGCTTGGTGTCAGGTATGTGTTCATGTGTAGGAGAAGATACTTTTGAGTGTGCATTTCGGGTGAATTAAAATTTTTAATTACATCAAATGCAACCATCTTTTGGCAGTGTGCGTACTCGTATTTGTTAAACACACACTTACTTTGTGGCTAATGAAGAAAATTAATATTCAAAGGTATTTTCTCAAAAGTAAAATTCTGCAGCAGAGCATAGAAGTTTACCTGCAGATTGCTTTAGGTTATTTGTGAAGTCTAAAATTAAATTTATTATTTTCCTGCAAACCAAACTTAATTACTGTGCTTTCGAAATTTCTATTTACTATCTGCAATATTAGTACGAGATCGCAGTATTTAACACACTTAAGCTTTTTGCATAAAATTAACTTTAACTTAGATACAAATTCCTGAAGAGGATGATATTAGGTGGATCTGCAAAAAAAAAATATTTTATTTAACATTTAATTTAAAGTCCTTTTATTTTTTAATGAAATCATATTTTTTGCAAACCTGTTTCAGTTATTCGGTATGGGTATATGCGGGTATGGGTCGGATGTTTTGGTATTTAATTGTCACATATGTTTAGAGTATTCCCAAATACTCGTCATTTACTTCATCATTTAGTCTTTGGTATGAATATAGTTATTCGGTACCTTTAAATACAAATCCAAAACCAAAAAAATGAATTCGTAACTATTTCAATATAATTTTTATTTGTAATCTATAATAAGACCAGAATAGCTTAAAAGAAGAAACATTTTTAAATAGTATTCTTGAAGCTCTTCGATGTACCCACAATTCTTTCCAATAACAATACATTTTTTATGATATTCTATATACCAAAAACTTACTATAGAATAAAGAGATACATATGAAAATCTTAAATAAAAATAAAAATACATACCGTTATCTATAGTATTCAGCTTTTAACTAGATGAATTATAAATTTCGATCCATAAGATCGAATGCTTAGTGCGGAAATAACTGATCAACCCTTAAGATTGTTTAATAAGCAGTTAAAAACTGGAAAACAACGATTATTATAATTGTTATTAGACCTATTATTATGCGATCCAAAAGATCTATTGTGTCCCTTAGTCGGATTAGAGTATTTCTCCAAGTTCGATTTATTTAACGAAAGACAGTATAAAACCTATCTTTCCTGGCCTTGAATCCTTATGTTTAAGGAAATACCCTCCTAGGAAATAACTGATCAACCTTTAAGACTGTTTGATAAGCAATTAAGAACTGGAAAATAACGATTATTATTATTGTTATTAGACCTATTATTATGCGATCCAAAAGATCTATTGTGTTCTTTAGTCGGATTAGAGTATTTCTCCAAGTCCGATTTATTTAACGAAAGTCAGTATAGAGCCTATCTGTTCTA